TCGCTCTCACCGCAGGAGATCACATGACATGATTTACTGGTTTAATATCGGAGTCCTCCGGGAAGACATTGCTGTACGTGGCTTAAAGAGTACCTGTCACCTCACAAATGACAAGACGTGATCACACATAATTGCATGCCACAGCAAATGTTTGCCACTTTGGGCTCCGAGGCCCCTTGATATCTACGGTTAGTCTTACCGGTAACGGTATTTCTAAGAATCTTCCAGGACAGCAACCCAAGTAGGCTTGCTGTCCTGGAAGATGATTGGAGAAATCTGGGATTTTCTCAGCACACAATAAACAGTATTACAAGTGCAAAGCGTGCGCCCTAGTAAAAGGGACATGAGCAGGATGAAGTATTGGTATCGGCATGGCCAATGGGACGAATTATTTTCATTATATGCCCTTCCAACTGCCATGCTGCCAGCTTATTGGCTCTGAATGATCACCTGACATTTCCATACTGCCAGCTTTCAGCACATTGGCTCCCTCTGATCACCTGACACTGTTCCGGTGCTTCTTCTCTACATTGGCTCCTTCTGATCAGCTGACACACAGCCAGAACTAACAACACTGACTGGCAACCGTCCCAAAATTGCTGGAATACTAAATGTAATGACAGCGGGAGGAACGAGCTCAGAAGATTCTGCTCAGTGTGTACAAACTCCCGGCTGTCACCTTTAGTGCAGGTTAGACAAAGAAATGCAAACAATGGTTCACTGGCAACCAGGAGCCCACACGAGGCGGGTTCACTGGCAACCAGGAGCCCACACGAGGCGGGTTCACTGGCAACCAGGAGCCCACACGAGGCGGGTTCACTGGCAACCAGGAGACTGCCATTGGTGCACCCAGCACAAGTCACCGCCGCCCTCCCAGGACTCACATGGTGACGTAGGCATACTGGCCGCAGAACTGGTCGTGGATAATGTTCCGGACATCCGGGTTCTTCTGCTTGGATAAGGTATTTTCTAGAAGAGTCATGAACAGTTTGGAGAACTCCTGAGCGTCCTAAACACAGGAAAGAACAACAAGAGTCAGCATGGCAAACACTCGGATGAAGAGGGGGACCTCCTCCACACAAGGACCAGAGCATACACAGACTGCCTTAGTCACCTTACCTGGAGACACAAAACCAGGAAAACGTCTACACAGCGACAGGAAGCAGAATGAGGAAGTTGCAGCAACAATAGAAACGATAGCGGAAGATGTGGCGGTGTAACGCGTTCTCATGAATGACCGGGACTATAAATCGGAGGGACTCTCCCCCACTACAACCCAATGTCTTGTTTCTGCCTTTCCCCTGCCAGCCATACGTGGCCTCAGATGTTTTATCAGTGAGCGCAGCACTCGGGGGACAGGAGGCGCTCCCCGGGGTAAGGACAAAGCACATATTTAATGGAAAGTCTCACCTGCTGCTGCCCCGTGTCCAATCCCAGCGCTCGGATGAAGCCGGAGGGGTCGATGTACCGCCGGTTACTGTTCTGTAGTAGAGCGAACAGGTACTGCAGGTGTTCACAGATGCTCTGCGGCTCATATTCTGACAAAGACACGGGACAGAACACGCATGTCAGTAAAACCGGACGGCATGCATGGAAGGGACATGCATGGGGTGAAAAGGGCACACGGGAAACAAGCGTTTAGTATGAGCTCTGATCACACCATGTCCGCTGTGCGGTGCAGGAAAACAGCTCAATGAACAAGCCCTTCAAAATCCCTCACCAACCACCCCCAGGTTATATTCCCTTCACACAGCACTTCTAATCCCCATCAGAGGACTCACACCCCCTCACCGAGGGGGACGACAGCTCCACCCATGGGGACCCCAGGATGCCCCTGGAGCTACGAGAACATGGTGACCCCAGGATGTCACCTGGAGCTATGAGAACATGGGGATGTCACCAGGAGCTATGAGAACATGGGGATGTCACCAGGAGCTATGAGAACATGGGGACCCCAGGATGTCGCCTGGAGCTATGAGAACATGGGGACCCCAGGATGTCCCTGGAGCTACGAGAACATGGGGACCCCAGGATGTCCCTGGAGCTATGAGAACATGGGGACCCCAGGATGTCGCCTGGAGCTATGAGAACATGGTGAGATTGCCGTCACACCTTTGTCTTCCTGGATGCACTCCTCCACCTTCTCCACACTCGAGGGGTTCTCGTACAGATAGAGGGCCCGGCGGAGCTCCATGTTCAGGAACCAGACCTGGACGAAAGTGTTCACATAGCATGTGGCCCCCAGGTTGGTCAAGCCAACAAACGTGTCCTGAAAGAAGAGGGGAGAAGGTGACCTGAAGGACAGCCCCACACAGGACAGACGGGAGCACACAGACCTCGCAGACGACTGACCTTCTTCCGCCTCTCGAAGTTGGGATCATCGATGTTGTGGAAACTGTTCTCATCGATTTCCCCCAACCAGACGTGTTCACCAACGCCAACCAAGCAGTTCGGGTTCCCCTTGCAGTTCCTCCTAGCAGAGAAAACACACGAAAAGCTTCAATACATATCAACGCTCTGTGGTGATGGGCGGAGCAGAAGCATTGGAGATCAGTGTGGACGTAAAGCTGGAGATCTGCTTCTGAGAAAACGGAGCCGATCCCAGAACAAGACTCGGGTTCATCAGGAGCGATCTGCTCCGTTTTCTACAGGTGTCTGACCCCATAGAGAGCCGCTAGCTCCGCCTCCCGCTGCCTGCGTTTTCTGACGGGGGTAACCGCCAGGAACATAGACAGGGAAAGCAGCGTTCCCACATGCAGGTCAGACAGTCACGTGAGCCGTGTGTCAGGTCCGATCTGGCCGGAACCGGCAGCAATGTTCTGTGTCTAAGGTCTGCCGAGGTTCCGTTCTTCAGATTCAGAACTTCCAGAAGTTTCTCTGAAGAGGAAAATGACACAAACAGAACGGAACCGTCGATCGGCTCCATCAATGTGACGCACAGCACCAATACACCTGGGAGGACGCTTCACCACCATTGTGTGCACAGCATGAGAAGCCCCCCCCCCATGGACAATGTGCAAGAACGGGGTCACCGGGGATCAATGGGGTGACACAGACGGCACAGCAGAGTGCGGAGGAATTAGGGATTGCAGGTTAATGTGCTGGTTCCTGTCTGAGAGGGTGCGCCAGGGAACGTAGGGGACCCGACGGAGGAGGGGGCGCCGGGGACCTGATGTAGATGGAGGATGGGGTGTCAGGTAATGCAAGGGCCCAGAATACAGTATGGGAGGGGGTGTCAGGTAATGCAAGGGCCCAGAATACCATGGGGGAGGGGGTGTCAGGTTATGTAGGGGTGCCAAGTATACAGTGGGGGAGGGGACATTCCGGCTCTCTCACCTGCACACCCCCCGCACACACACGCCGCC